AGCTCTTCAAGCTTTGACTCGCCAAGTCTGACGGGGACACCCTTTGCCTTATACCCCACTCGCATAATTTTAGTCTTATCCAAGTTTATGCGGAGGCCAATTTTGGGTGCCTCTCTGTCTAGGCTCTCCGTCATTTCTTGAATGCATTTATTTGTAGCCCCGAGTAGTGCAACATCATCAGCAAAGTCCAAGTCCGTCAATCGGAGCTGTTCATGCCATGGAATATCAAAGGCAGTCTGGTTCATTGCTCTCCTCATTATGACAATAATATATTCAGGACATGATAAGGAGCACATTGGTGGTGTAGGAATCATCATGTCTAAAATAGCAGCTTCAGCGCTAATTGCTTGGAAGCCGGTCAGTGACCGCATCATTACAGCTCGACTCCAAACAAAGCAAATCAAAGTCACTACCATCCAAGCATATGCCCCTACAGAGGATGAAGAAGATACCATCAAAGATAGTTTCTATAACCAACTACAAACCACTCTTGATGAAACACCTACTCACGACCTAATTCTAATGATGGGAGACTTTAACGCCAAAATCAATCCCAACCAAACTGGCTTTGAATATGTAAAGGGACCGTATGGCTCTACAGAAAACATCAGTGATAATGGCGAGCGCTTGATTTCTCTATGTGCATCCAACAGCCTTTCAATTGGAAACACATATTTTAAGCACAAACAAATACACAAAAAAACATGGCGATCACCAAATAGAGAAACCTTCAACGAGATAGATTACATTTGCATCTCCAAACGATGGAGGTCATCTCTGTTAGACGTGCGGACCCGCAGAAGAGCGGATATCGGCTCAGACCACTACCTTGTCAGTGGCAAATGTAAGCTCCGATTGAAACACCAACCAAAACGAGCCACACGACCCCGCCCATTTAATGTAGTGAAGCTTAAAGACGGCAATACTGCTGCAGTGTTCCAATTGAAACTTACGAACCGCTTTGAGGCTCTTGCAGATATATTGACCCTTGAAGAAGAGTGGGCCAACTTCAAAGATACCACTATTGGGTGCGCGGAAGAAGTTATCGGAAGGAGGCGAGGTTCATACAAGGAACGGTGGATACAAGACAGAACATGGAAATTGATAGATGAGAGGAAAGAGGCCAAACGTAGACGAGATCAGAAAAATGAAACACAGGATCGCAGCCTAGCGGAAGAAGCCTATAGGGAAGCAGATCTGAAAGTAAAGAGAAGTTGTCGGCGAGATAAACGGGACTGGATTGAACAGAAGGGACAAGAGGCACAAGCAGCTGCAAGCAGAAATGACACAAAAACCCTCCATCGTATTGTCTGAGATCTCACTGGAGCAAAAAGTGGACATGGGGCACCGATAAAAGACAAGCAAGGCAAAACTTTGTTAACGAAAGAAAAACAGGATGCAAGATGGGTAGAGCACTTTAAAGAGACCCTTAACCAACTGTCGCCAGACCAAACTTACATATTCAAGGACCCCTCTCCAGACAATGATCTCAAGGTCAAGACAGACCCAATAACTGCTGAGGAGGTTACCATGGCCATTGCAGTGTTAAAGAATAACAAAGCACCAGGGCTAGACATGATATCAGCAGAAATGCTAAAATATGGGGGACAGTGCATTGTTAACAGAATGACAGATCTTTTAAATCTCTGTTGGCGAACTTCAAAAGTCCCAGAGGACTGGCAAAAGGGAGTGATTGTAAAGCTTCCAAAAAAGGGCAACTTGGCAGACTGCAACAACTGGAGGGGCATTACTCTCATCTCTGTCCCGGGCAAAGTTTTCAGCACTGTTTTGTTGAGACGGCTTCAACAGTCTGTAGATGAAAGGTTCAGAGAAGAACAAGCAGGTTTCCGAAGAGGCAGATCATGTACAGAGCAGATTTTCGTTCTACGAAATATCATAGAACAAAGTCTTGAGTACCAACAACGGCTAACGATCAGTTTCGTGGACTTCAAAAAAGCGTTTGATAGTATCCACCGAGAATCACTATGGAAAATAGAGAATACGGTATCCCAGAAAAATTCGTCCAGATCCTACGACACCTTTACAGTCAATCTAGTTGCTGCATTAAAACAGAAAAGGGAACAACAGAGTTTTTTACAATCGAGACAGGTGTGAGACAGGGGTGCATCTTATCTCCCTTCCTTTTCCTCCTAGCCATCGACTACATAATGAAAAGGATTACAATTAAATTTATGTATTCAGATATTCATGCTGAAAATATTTTTAAAAACCTTGCTTTTTAGCTGCCTGAGTGAATCACTCCGGGGATCCTATTCTGAGTGTGTTTCCACATAAACAATATGCCGATTTGTCGATTTTATTTCTTTCCACATCAAACTCTGGTGATTTGTGTGCTGTTTGTGTGTTTGAATTTTTACAAGATACCATGTGTCAACCTACCCCAGTGTAACATCATTTCACAACCTTTAGGCCTACACAAACACATTTAAAAAAATGTATAATATAGATAAAATGAAGAGATTCAGTTTATTTCATTTGTTCTACATGACGTTTGAATTTGAGTTCGATTTGTGAAGTCAGTTAAAGACTCTTATTATTCTAAATAGGCAAAACTGTGTCTATGAGCCTGGCCACTTTCACTTACTAATATGCCAAATGAAAGACCTTCCTTCAAAGAAGAAGATAATTATGTCATACGACCGAGTATTCATATGCAAATCTAGTTGTGCATCCTAATTAAAGTCTACTAAGTCATTGGTTTTCCTGGCTGATTCAGGAAACCCATTCCATGCTATAATGGCACAAGGGAAGAAGGAGCGCTTGTATGTATTTGTCATAGTATATGGAATAAGAAATGTACTTTTATCTGGAGGTCACTCACAAGGCCGCGGGATACACATTTGGGACCAAAAGAAAATCCGCTGCCGAGGACAGACGCAGACGGCGATAAGAAAATCTAAATCGACCACCCGCGGACAATGGTTATGCTTGCCCTGGGCAAAGTATGTAGGTCACAGCTGGCGCTGCGCAGCCACGGGAAATACTACATTCTTCACTAATCTTTGGACTATATTATTAGGCTGTTTTGGGTGTCTTACTAGGTTGTGTTTTATTGTAATTGTATGCAAAAAGCAGTCTTTTTTGATGAGATGAAAGGTGGTCGACGTAACAAACGCTTTAAAGACCAGCTTAGGCACCAACTTGGTTTAATTGACATAGAAGAGAGAAACTGGTTGCATCCGGCTTCAGAACGAGACAGCTGGAGGTCACTTACAAAGGCCGCGGGCTACACATTTGAGACCAAAAGAAAATCCGCTGCCGAGGACAGACGTAGACGACGAAAGGAAAATCTAAATCGACCATTGGCGGACAATGGTTATGCCTGCGCTGGATCTGGCAAAATATGTAGGTCACAGCTGGGACTACGTAGCCACGGGAAATACTGCATTCCTATTTAATCTTCGGACTCTTAAGACAAGTATTATTATTTCCCTTTTATTTTTTATGCGTAATTTGTTAAAAAAATTATATATGTTTGAAATGTGGACAGTGTATGTCCCATAATAAACCTGGCCCTGCTTTAAGACATTCACTGGGTCATTGTAAAAGAAATAAGCCGACTAGATACATGCAGAAAAAAATATATGTAGGCAGGCCTATATATATTATAATATTCTTTGATCTTCGAGCCTGGCCGATATTCTCTTTAACGAGCACCCACTGAGAGTGTTTATAGCTCCTAGCTCTAAATATTGTAATGTAATGCAGACCTGCCAAACGTTTTAACAAATGATCTGGGGGATAAAAAGTGCTACCAAAGTATTTATCATGAGCAGACATATTTCAACAATACCTGTATGCTCTCAATTCTGGACACGCCCTGACCTATATAGCTTGAGAAATTACTTCCTTGGGATACTCATGTTATGTCAGAAAATATTAGTACGTCAGGCTAGATTTATCATTTACCTGCAGGTTTTTAATATATTAGCACGTAACGATATTAATTGAGAGTTGAAATATATATTTGATTAATGTAATGACACTTGGGATTCTTCTAATATTACTCTGAAGTGACACTTTATCGATACCAAGTTCAAGATGGTCACAGAAAATGATTATAAATCCAACAATGAAATAAGTTACAGTGAAAGACTTGTATAAACTTTACAAAAACCAATATTATGGCCCAAATAGTTTTCCCCGGCTTATGAAGAACCTTCTAGAAACTGCATTGATGTTTCACTCTTTCTTTGAATATACCTTTTTTGCTGCTCAACAGATTATTTTAAAAAAACTTCTGTTGAAGGTGTCAGTTTACTGGTGAAAATATGCGGCCCAGTGCGACATAGCACATCATTACATATGCATTGTATACGCGTCTTTACTGTCAAGAAGGCCTATTTGATATTTTGGGTTTTTCGTACATCGGCACAAATTAGGCCATGTCGTGTACTTAACTTTCAAGGCTTAAAGAGATGTGTGGGGCTAAACATAACAGAGTCAATTTGTGAATTTATTCATGACAAAACTTTTTCCACTTTACGACCCCTCCCCATTTCTTTTATTCATACTATTAACTAACAATGTTTCCCATTATCTCAAAATGACCATAATATCTTGTCACTAAATAACTGAACATAGGATTTATACAAGTTTCAACCATTTCATTTTTGTAATAACAGAAAAATGAATGAATTTGTACTGTCCGAATATTTCTGGAATTGCTTGAAGCTTATTTTTTACTTGTATGCTTTGAAAGTTTTACACTCGGGCAACATTCTGAAAGAGCATGCTGACCACAAAAAAAAATTCATTTTGTCCTTTTAGAAAAAAATCTAAAAATATTAAAGCATAGTTGCTTGAAAAAAAATAGTTTGAATAGTAAACACAAACTAATAGTTTTATAATGAGGACAACAAATTTAAGTAAAAACTGCAACAATTTTGTCAAGTTTTTAAATGTATTAATATAAATCTATACAGGAACAGTCAAAGTGTCAAAACTAGCTGTTTGCATTTTGACTTTTATACTAATCATATATACAAGATAGGTATATACTAATCACATATACAAGAAGACAGGATGTTTACATTTGTACTGCAACATATAAATAATCATAATGACTTCATAACATAACTATAACATAATGTTATAAATCTGAAACAAACTATTTCGTAAACACACAAATAGGAAATGAAAACCTGGCACATAAAACTTTGCATTTCTATAAAATATAACTACATTTATTGAATAGTTAAAGTGTTCTGTAAAATTTAAGTATATTTGCATCAACAGAATGTAATCAGGAATTAACAAGTGAAACACTAAGAATTAATAGAATATTTAAATATTTAACACAAGATTTCAGTTTTTGATTTTATCATTTCTACAAAAAATTTCACAAAGCACCAATGCATATTTTTGTTAAATGTAAAAAAAAAAAAAAAAAACACTTTTACTTTGGTACACCCTGAGCATCCCTATGGTTCTTCATGGCCCAAGCCATCCAGTCCAACTGTTTTAACAAGGTATCTGCTCCCTTATCTAAGTGATCGTTCAGAGGTTTGCCATTTTCATCTAGGGCCTTGTGTACTTCAGGAATGCCAAAGATGTTGGAGACGCTCAGTGTGCCCAGTTCACTGAGGAAAGCCCTCAATTGCATGGCTGCCCTCATGCCGCCATAGATACCTGGGAAAATAATGGGAAAATAAAACTCAAATAAAGTAAAAAAACATTTAAAAATATAAACAGTATAGTTCTCCCTTTCAGACATTGCGATTTAGGGGCATGATGATGATGTAAGGTCAACTGTTTCTTTGGCCAATGGTTAACAAGCAGGGTGTTATGTGGCCAGCACAATGACCAACCACCTTTACTTTCGCAATCCTGTTATATGGCCAGCACAATGACCAACCACCTTTACTTTCCCAATCCTGTTATATGGACAGCACAATGACCAACCACCTTTACTTTCGCAATCCTGTTATATGGCCAGCACAATGACCAACCACCTTTACTTTCCCAATCCTGTTATATGGACAGCACAATGACCAACCACCTTTACTTTCCCAATCCTGTTATATGGACAGCACAATGACCAACCACCTTTACTTTCCCAATCCTGTTATATGGCCAGCACAATGACCAACCCCTTTACTTTGCTCAACTAAGGTCAGGTATGCATTAGAATTGGGTGGACTTAGGAGCATCCTAAAAACCTCAAATTAAAAATTCCATCCTTTGCAGAGATTCCAACCCAGGACCTCTCGATTCAGAAGCCAAGCCACCATGCCCCTTACTCAAATAAATAAATAGATGATCTGAAAAGACAAACTAGCTTAGTTTACACTAAATTTCATTTAATCTTGTTAACAAGGGGAAGGGGGGAATGATATACTCTGACTAAAAGTAGAGTAAAGGGAGACAAGTAAATAATTGTTCCACGCCAATTAGGTGCCAATTAGGCAAGTGCTAGAGCCATGGTACTAAACTTTGTTTACAGAGACATTTTTTAACAAGTATCATGTCATTTACCCCATTTTCTCATGTGCTCTCTATTCTATTTGTTTTTTGTGGAGGACAGCCAAAACAGATTTTTTAAAATTTTGTATATTTCCATAATTAACCTCAAAATAGTGAATGGAAAAAAGTATCAAGAAGGAAGAAAATAGTTTTGGGGTGCATTCCCCTGGCACGAGTGGGACTAGCCTAGTTTGAATTTTGTAATGCAAAGACAACTGTACTTTTTAAATTACTTTAAGTGTTTGAGTTTTAATTCAAACACGTTAGTTTGCTTTGATCTGTAAGGATTTATATTAAGCTTGTGTGAAAACAAAAAATCCAATAGATCCATTCATTGCATCATAATATCTACGCAACAAGTATTAAAATTTTTAATTTTCAAACATCAGTTAAAACATTCTATACATTCAATCAAATTTCTATAGATTAAAAAATAATTGAAAAGCTATCATCATATTTAAACATAAAATGTTTATAACTTTTTAAATTTCATAATTTACAGATTCCTAACATAACATGCTCTTTACTGGTCTTTTTATTTGCTTAACCTAAAATACTATCATTTTGTGTTCTTCACCATCTTTTAAATGAGCATTCTTTCCACCAAAATATGACAGTACTGTGCAGTTCAATGTTGCCTGCTCCGAAAGGTTTAACAAACAGTGATAACCTGCATTATGTGTGGACAGAATGCCTCTACCAGCATATGAAAAGTGTTCTACAAGATGAATCGTAGATCTTTTATTAAAAATAAAGGCACATTCCTCGTCCCCTATGCTAGGACAAATTTGTACAAATACTTCTTCCCTAGTGCTATTAGAGCATGGAATGGGTTGCCTGAGCTAGCCAGAAAAACCAGTGACTTGGTAGAATTTAAGTCATTGGTTAATATGCATGACTAAATGCATGACGCGTAGGACGTAATCATCTTCTTTTTTGAAGTAACGTCTGTATTATATAAGATAAGATAAGATGAAAGAAGCCAACATTCTGCACATTCAAGTTTTTATGGATTTAAAAAAAAAATAGAGTAATCTGTTTTATCATGACTGCATTGTTCTATTTTAAAATTTTTCATAAGTAGTTGTGCTGAAATTATAGTAATATATTTTTTAAAAAATTTAGCTATTCATTTCTTTAAACTAATGCTTCAACAATTCATACTTAAGGTAAAAGAGATATGACTTTGACCATAATGTAAATCTATATTATTACTTGTAACTAAACATAGCTTGTATAGTACATTGAGGCTAATTAGTGAGTTCAATATTATTACTGTTAACTAATTAGACCTGTTGAGGATTGACTTGCTTTGCTAACATTGATCACCAATATTCAGACTTACCCATAGAATAGGTCACTATTGCACTTGGCTTGTAGCTAAAGATGCTGCCAGGGAAGTGGTTCAGCATGTTGCTGAGGGCTGGTGGAATGCTGTGATTGTACTCTGCAGACACAACTACATAAGCATCTGCAGCCTTTATCTTTTCTTCACACTCCAACAGCCACTTGGGAATTTTGCTCCTGTCTTGGTAAAAGTGAGTTGGCTTTTCCAACATAGGAAACTTCAAGACTACTGGGTCTGTAACAAAAAAAGTTTTTTAATAAGGTAAATTTTCTTAATTTAAAATTCCCATTATCTTTGAGCAACATAAAGGATGAGTATCACATATTGCTTGGCTGCCTGTCAGGGGGGCCCGACTTCAAATCCAGATTTAAGCTGTGTTTGAGTTCCCATAAATAAATAGGAATCAAATTGGAGCATGTCTTTCCACCCAGAAAAATGTCAGTTGTTAAGAGTAACAAAAAAACTAAAACAAATTAATTCCACTTATCTTATTCATGGCAAACCAGTAACACAGACTAAAAACTCAAAATACCTAGGTGTTATAATAAATGAAAAACTGTCATGGAATCCACATATTGATGAAACTACAAAAAAATCCAACAAAGCATTAGGGTTTATTAAAAGAAATTTCCATAAATCAAATAAGAACATAAAACTAAAATGTTATTTAACCTTGGTTAGGCCAATAATAGAATATGCATCCACCGTTTGGGACCCCTCAACTCAAGAAAACATTAAGAAACTGGAACAAACAAAATAGAGCAGTGAGATTCATAACAAACGAATATTCACATTTGACTAGAGTAACACCATTAGTAAAATCACTAAATTTAGAAAGCCTTCAGGACAGAAGACTCAAAAGTAAAGTAGCAATTATACATAAAACACTGAACCATAATCTTCAAATACAAAAACAAAACTTAATAAAATACTCTGAAAGACACAAAAATAAAGGCACATTCCTCGTCCCCTATGCTAGGACAAATTTGTACAAATACTCCTTCTTCCCTAGTGCTATTAGAGCATGGAATGGGTTGCCTGAGCTAGCCAGAAAAACCAGTGACTTGGCAGAATTTAAATCATTGGTTAATATGCATGACTAAATGCATGACGCGTAGGACGTAATCATCTTCTTTTTTTAAGTAACGTCTGTATTATATAAGATAAGATATAAAATGTTTGCTTGGTGCCTAAACCTCCCAGATATCCCCTCATAAGTCCACAAAAGATAGGAGAATGTATAGTTTGAAATGAGTGTGTGATATAAAAGAAATTAAAAACAGAATTGATTATGCCTACTGTGCCTAATTTTAAATTTGTGGATTAGAAACCTAACAAGGTATTTAAAGTCATGTACAACAAATATATTAAAATAAGGTTTTCATTTTATACCAACAGGTATTCTTAGCAACTTTTTTTTACAACTTAAATCCTCTGGTACATTAAAGCTTAAAGAACTTACAAAATCCATAAAACCATGAAAATAAAAGGCATCTAAAAAATGTACCTGCTGCCTATCAGACGGATGCCAAATGTGAATAGAACTAGAACTAGCAAGAGCCTTCAAATTTGCCCTGAATGGCTAAAAATATCAGACCTTGTGATCTATAGGGCAGTTGATGTAAAGGTCATCTGTTTCTTTGCCTATGATTACTGAGGGTGTCACGCGGACAGCACAACGACCAACCCCCTTTTACTTTTCCCCAACTAATGTCAGGTACCCATTAGAGATGGGTGGACTCAGAGGCACCCAAAGATCCCGAAATTAAAAATCCCAATCTTTGCCTGATTTCGAACCTGGGACCGCAAGCGCTTTACCGCTCAGCCACCACACCTCCTAAAAAGTTCACTGTTGCCAAACTGAAAATTTTGTGCTAACATAAAAGAACTTGGAGATTTTATTTTACAGAGCTAAATAGTGGACATGTAAAAAAAATAGCATATATCTTTAAAAATACTCAGCTTATTAATACTTGTATTCTGTAAACCAGCAATCCCAAAATAGCTAGACTTTGCCATCATTTGGGGGCCCAGGGGGCTTGAATTCTATGGGGACCCCTGCATTTTGCATACTATTTAATACAAAATAACATTTGGGGGCCTGACTCAAGTGAGGGGGCCCGGGGGGATTTTCCAATTCCCCCCTCCCTCCCCCACCCTAGCTACGCCTCTGGATTTAGTCTAGATTATGGCTGAAACTTTAAAATTAATTGAGAACTAAAGTAAGGCTACTCAGTCTACTGTAGTACTAGTAGTAGTAGGGGCTATGTAGCCTATTGTAGCATCTATTTTAGGTGTAAAAATTAGTACGTACCAAATAATTCAACTTGATAATTCCTAGCTTCGAGTTGCTTTTGAACGAATTTGGCTACTCTCAGGCCAAATCGCCCCTCTCTTGTTGATCCAAGAAATAGGACAACATTTAACTTCTTAGCTGCTTTGCCTGCCATCTCCTGTTCTGTGTATCTCCGATACATGCAATGGATAGAACCCTTTATATTAACTCTCGTTTAATTGAACGCTCGTCCGAATCGATGTTGCATGAGTCGGCAAAATAAATATAACGCGCTGATCCGAT